TCAATGCCAATAACACATCACAAATCAAATATTTGTTTCAAATAAAGTCACTACAATACCATCGCTATTAACACAACAAAACATTTTTGAAGTATAAAGCGATTTAAAAGATTTTTGAGAATCTAGTCACGACAAGATACCTTTGAGTGTTCGCTTGTGCACCGAAGGTGGAACCGCCGAAAACGGATGGTTTCTGTTGTTGTTGTTGTTGTTGCTGGACAAGTGAACCAAACCCACTACCACCGAACAGAGAACTTTTCTGACCTTGCTGTTGACTGGCGGCTGCCAACGCACCGAAACCTGACGATACGCCCGAGTGGGCGAATCTGAAAACGTCTCTGGTCATTGAATTCTAACCTCAGTTCACTTCCAAATCAATCTGCGATGGATTTCCGTTGATGCAGTGATGCAAACAAAGTATCATTCCATCCTGCCCAAAACTTGAACAACTCATCCACTAACAATAAGAGCCATTCGGAAAGAGATTCGACGATCTACTGTCGTCGTGTTTTCGCAATACGATAAATAACTAATTTGTTCAATTCTTTTCCAATTGTCAACATCGAACGAGCAGTTCATATTTTTTTATTTGTTTTATTTAATCAGCAATTCAACCAGCAAATCTGCGACCAAATAAAATGAGCACTTCATATTTTCGATAACTTATCACCCTTTCTTCATTATTTTTAAACGAAAACAAAAAAAGAAAAAGAGCACTAACGCAGAGAATATTCCACCACTCGAAGGCACCGTCGCTTGTGTGGGTTGAACTCCAACAGCCTGTGAGAACGCAGATGCAAGTGGTGAACGCGCACCGAATGTCGGTTTCGATCCAAACGTTGGTGCACCTCCGAATGTTGACGTTGCACCAGTCACTGAAAGTTACCGGATTTTTTACAATTAGACAATTTTTAGTTTTAATCCAAAATTTTTGAATCCCACAGAACATGCATCCTGCTCTATTTGAATGAAGTGATATTTTGCTGCGTTTGTCGTCAATTTTGAACACAAATTGACTAACTTTATGCAATAAAGACGCAAGAATCAGGTGAAAATTTTCTATTCAATCGACAACAACATGAAATGAACGAAAACGCAAAATAAGATGAAACTCACCAACAGGCTTCGCACCGAACACACTGCCGGTTGACTGCTGTGGATTGGCGAGAGCAGCCGAAAATGAAAATGATGGTGTTGATTGTTGCTGTTGTTGGGTGCTTGAGGTTGATGATGACATGATCGAGCCAAAAAGACTCGACGTACGCGGGGCATTCGCGTTGCCCATTTGAAATGCTGAACCTGACACGTTACTGGTCGTCGTCGCAT